ACAGATGTCTCAGAAGAAACTCAATTTCATTCATGTATAAGAAAGATGTTTCTAAAAAATAAACATGCTTACTTCTTTGTACCCTAAATAGAAAAGCTAAACGAATAAATGAAAGATAGAGAAAGATTTTGAATTGCCATAAGAGAGATTCCTAGAAATAAGATTCATAAGTGTGAATTCTCCCTGGAAATGTTCATGCAACGCCCTGTAACTTCTCAACAAGTCGTCATGCATAGCGCAGTTCCAACATACAATAATCGATCAATATATATCTGATAAATAACGTGAAATTCAAGAAACTGATGGTAGCTCAAATTAAATGTTTCCTTCCAAACCTAGGATTCCAATATTTTAGCATTCCTAAATAAGCCCAACTATGAGTCACTAATTTTTCCTTTCAATGTGTCACATAGTCATAATTTCCTTTATACTGGATGTGCACTCCTCAGGAAATTAAAGGATCCCAAACATCTTATTAGGAACATTTTAGGTAGTACCACGCAGTAATAAAGTGCAAAATATGAAACACTTAAGAAACTTCAAAAGCTTGTATTTACACGTGTAGTATTAATCTTAAATTCCCCTTATTCAAGGCAAAAATGAGCAATGATATATCAAACCTTTATCACAGACATTATGCTTAGTGCTTTAATATTCATTCAAAAGTATTTATTGAACACTGACTGTACACCATACACATCTAATATTTATAACCAATTGAGCAAGGTGGACATTAATATCTCCACATGAAAGGTAAAGGAGTTATGTAACTTGTCCAAGTTCAGGCCACCACAAGTCCATACACAGCGTTTGTACAAATTTTAAAAACAATGTACCTCTTCATCAAGTTTTATTCCATCTGTAATGAAATTGGCCATTACTGACTTTATTAAAGCAAGAAAATATACTGCTCATAAAATTATCTTAATAAATATTCAAATTTATGTAAGTAGTGTGCACTTTAGATGTGTTTCTTTGTGCAATGCACAATCCACTCAATAGTAAATGACAATCCTGTATGAGCAATCCTGTAAGGACAGAACCAGAAATTTCACTCCAAAATACCACCATTTACTCCCACCTAAATGAGAATGATCAGTAATTTCACATAAATTCTGGCTGCATAAGACTACTGTCTCCATTCAGTACTGTTTCATACTCAAAGTACTAATAAAATGTATTTATGTGAATATAAACCCACTGAATACATAGAAAGCAACTAATGCTGGATGGCTAGGAAGGGTTTCTCAGAGAAATCCTCATCAGCCTCTCCAGACAAGAACTGCATCTTCCAAGCCTGATTTTACCTACCAGGAAGTTGAAAAATATTCTTAAGATTAGTATAAAATAGTTGTTCTCATAAATAGCACTCCAATAACTCACTCTAAACCTTAAGGTCTAATTATTACAAAATGACTTGAATAAGACTTCACTGTGATGTTAAAGTGGTTCGGGTCAATATTCAGTCAAATTATGGATGATATTAAGTTAACAGGGTTTTTTTAGGAAATCATGTTGCCTTTTTCTAGAGATGATATTTCAGAGTGTGAAATGGCCTTAACACCCAATGAGAATAAAAACGTCCTCAGATAGAGCAGTCCATGTACACATGATGCTTTACTTATTCAAGCCACCCTTTTGGGGTTTCTATTGTGTTGGAGGTTTTATGTTAGGTGAAGACACAGTAACAATCAGATTGACCCAGACCATGCTCTGTTCTCATTCCAGATGACAGAATTAATGTCAAAAAAGAAAAAATGCAGTAAGTGCTACAACAGAGATCTAGACAAAGGGTAGCAGGCTCACTTGGTGGATCCCTGCTTTGTCCCCCACACAGAATTTATTGGAATTCAGGTAAATAGAGCTCACGATAATGTAAGTAAGCTTTAAAATTAACTGCAAAACCAACCCCTACCATCATATTTGGCTCATAGTAAATGTATAATAGATGTGAGATGAATAAACAAATGGACTTTCCAGCTTACAAATTAGACTTAGGCTATAAGCAAACATCCACATCAATTATAAAAGAAGTGCTCATGAATACAAAAGATTTTTAAATTACCCAAAAGCCTACAGCAATTTGAATTGAGGAAAGATGCAATTTAAATACAAACCTCATACTGACCAACTTAAAAGATACATAAATTATTTATGACGTCTATTTGGGCTATTTAATCACATATTTTCAGCATCTCCATAAGACATTTTTTTTCAGACATGTGGACTTTTTTTTTAATTCCTAAATCTCAACCATATTATCTATCTGTCTTTGCAAGGAAGACCAATTAGGAGGAGCTCTAACAATTTCCATTGGTTTTCAGCAATCCAAACAGAGATGATCAGGCTTTAACCAGATGTAGGGGCCCAGGGATAGAGAAAGGCTGATTCTTTGCTGTATGTACATAGGAAATCTACACTTATGAATTCCAGCTTTTCAGGTGGATAATTTGAGATGGTTTGTTCTTTGAACATTTTAAATCATTCTGGCCTGCCTCCCAAGGCTCCCAAGAGACATTTTACTGAAATAGAAGTAAAATGCTAAACACTTTACTCACCTTTTCCTCTAATTCTGTGTTTTGACCTTTTTTAAATTTTCATCTCACATTCTATTATAAATAACCTGGGAAGAGGAACGTAGTCTGTGCAGTTCTCTCTAATCAGCATCTATTCCAACACTCTATGTGATGAAACACTCACAAAATATTTCCTAGTGATTGAATTAGACAGCAAACTACTGTCTAATTGAAATGAAACTCAAAAGCCGGGACCTTTTTTTAATATACTTTATGCAACATCTGATGTGATGTGAAGGAGAATCACAAAATATGAGATTTTAAAAGAGGCCTTGAAACTATTTTGTTGTTATCAACAATGTATTTTTTTAACCCCGTGAACTTCCTTCATCAGAATTTCTACCACTACCATGTAATAGAAAAGAGTTTCAAATTTTCTATGAGGAGTTCCTGGAACTGTAGAAAGGGAGGAAAAGAGAATATAAATATAACTTGATAGTATACAACACAATACACTTGCAGAGAAGATCCACTTCTCAGTAATTTAATGAAATTTTGGAACCACTTTGGCCTACAATTTTGTTAGATATTAGTAATCAATACAATTTAAAACAATAGGAGCAGACAATTTGGGTTAACAGTTAAGAAGGTGGCTCAAGTCTATAATCCCAGAACTTTGGGAGCCGAGGTGGGCAGATCACAAGGCCAGGAGTTCAAGACCAGCCTGACCAACATGGTGAAACCCCGTTTCTACCAAACATACAAAAATTAGCCAGGTGTGGTGGCGTGCGTCTGTAATCCCAGCTACTCAGGAGGCTGAGGCAGGAGAATTGCTTGAACCCGAGAGGTAAAGGTTGCAGTGAGCTGAGATAGCACTATGGCACTCCAGCCTGAATGACAGAGTGAGACTTCGTCAAAAAAAAGACAAACAAACAAAAAACAGTTAAGAAGGCAAAACCAGGTTTCAATTAACTGTAAAATTTTATAGTGAAACACTGGTAAGTTAGTTCTTGATTCCAAAAAAAAAAAAAATAAGTTTAAATTTCTTTTTGAGAAACAGGCCTCATATTCATCTATTCTCTGGGATTGGTAGAAGATGCAAGTTTCCACCCTATCTGTGGTAGGTACCTGTACACAGAGCTGATAAGGAACTACACAAAGGGAAATGTTAAAAAGTTGCTACTTCTTAGCAACATAAGAAAACCACTAAAGAGAAATATTTCTGCAGGTATTTACAAGGTGAAATTTTTGTGTTCTAGCTTTTTCCATTAACAAACTTTCTCATCGCCCCTAACAGTCTGAATACAAACAAATATTTCTAATTCTTCCTTTAGGTATACATAAATCTCCTCCAACTACGCTTCTCTCCTTTCCTGAAATCAAACATACATCTGTTTTACGTAGGAGCAGAATAATGCTAGGCAATTAGTAAGTGTGTTGGTGTTCATGCAACAGAGATTTATTGCAACTATATGCAAACTTTGTACTATGTCCTGGAGTGCTACGGATTGAGCAAAATTGCATAAACAGAATAGCCAGTATTCTTGATTTGAAATTTAAGTATCAATACAAATAAAATGAAATAGTAAACAGAAGGGAGAAATGGGAGGGGATATGGATGTAATGGGGAGGGGAGGAAGGGGATAGAATAAATGGATAGAATAAAAGGCAATGGGGAGATTACTTTCCTACTCTTTCCCACACCTCATTTTACATGATTATCGTGGTATGGTTGTACATTTTTCTAAATTACTATAAATGTCTTAAAGACACAGCCTGTCCTATATTTCTCCACATCTTTAGCACTGCCCAAGTGGAGAATATAAGTCTGAGAAAATAAATATTAATATGTGATGTGGAAATTCAAGATGAGATTTGGGTGGGGACCCAGTGAGAAGTAACTTAATCATGGGGGAAAGTTTTTCCTGTGCTGTTCTCATGATAGTGAATAAGTTCCACGAGATCTGATGGTCTGTACCCACATTGTATCTAGGAAGTAACTAACTTGCTTTTGAATTTACAGGCTGATAGGCAGAAGGGACTTGCCTTGTCTCAGATGAGACTTTGGACTGTGGACTCTTGAGTTATTGCCGAAATGAGTTAAGACTTTGGGTGACTGTTGAAAAGGCATGATTGATTTTGAAATGTGAGGACATGAGATTTGGGAGGAGCCAGGGGAAGGATTATATGGTTTGGCTGTGTCCCTACACAAATCTCATCTTTAATTCTGACGTGTTGTGGGAGGGGCCCAGTGGGAGGTAACTGAATCATGGGGGCAGGTCTTTCCAGTTCTCATGATAGTGAATAAGTTTCATAAGATCTGATGGTTTTAAAAAGAGGAATTCCCCTGCACAAGCTGTCTGGTTTTGCCTGCTGCCCTCCATGTAAGACATGACTTGCTCTTCCTTGCCTTCTGTTATGATTGTGAAGCTTCCCCAGCCATGTGGAAGTGTAAGTCCAATTAAACTTTTCTTTCATAAATTGCCCAGTCTCAGGTATATCTTTATTAGCAGCATGAAAATGTACTAACACAATATGTTATGCAAGAGAAATAGAAAATGATAGTGCTAAACACAATGCTATGAAGATAACAACCCCAAGCATTAAGGAATCAGGTTATTAATTGTTATCTGAAGTAAACCATGTAACTGTTTGCTCAAAGTTTTGTTTCTTAAAATCCATCATTGTGCCTTTAAAGTAGGAACTTCAGAAGTTTTAGAAGTGACACTCCTATATATAGTATTCATACCACAAACTACATCTTTCAAGAGTAGTTCGAACTCGATTTCTAAGTTTATCATAACACGATATGTTCAATTTTCCAAATATTGTAAGTTTCTTCTCCAATCGTCTTCCTCATGGAGAAAACGTCCCAGCAAAAAAAAAAAAAAAATGCTTAGGCAAGGCCCCAAGCTTCTAACTACTTTTACTGAGTGACAGGGTAGGCTGGCACCTCATTACCTAATCCCAAGGTGGCATGCAGGAACTAGCAGCCCACAGAGGTCTAAAACCTGGAACATGTAACATCCAACTCAAATGCTCACACGTCCGCATTTCCACACGGGCTGACTTACACCCAGGAGACAGCCCCTGAGCGCTTTACAAATTGCAGAGTAGGCCAGGAAATCGGCTCCAAAGGTGATATGCCTCAGCTCTGCTTCAGAGGCCCCAACTCACATTCTAACAGTTCTGAGAGGTTTCCGTGATCAAATCCAGGAAGAGGAGCTGGAGGAGCTGAGGCTCACAAACGACCATCCGGGCTTTTTCGTGGAGCCCGTTTCTGCCCGACCCCCCTGAGGAATGTAAACGATCTGTTCAGGACTGAAATGCTTTACCCTCGAGGATGTAAATAATTCATTACCCCCTCCTTCTTGCACATTTTGCCTTCTAATTTCTCTATCTACTCATTGCTCTCTCTTTGCCAGTTTATCTCTTAACTACCACAATTGCCTTCTGCTCTTTTCCCCTCAAAAACTTAAAAACGAAACCGTATTCATTAGCCAAATAACTGGATTAGATTTCTTTTCAACATATTAGAGAGTAGAAAAGTTGCTTTGTAATTTCTTTGATATGCAGCCTTTTAGAAAGCAATTCCTTAAATCACTCTGTTTAAATCTTTGAAGTACGTAACTTTCTTTGCTAGCACGCTAACACTTCACTAAAACCTGTGCAATGTTAGGAAAACTTTAATTTCTGTAGTCAGTGCTTCCACATGAGCAGCAGGGGGCAGCAGGACACCAATAATTGAAGAAATTGTCCTGGGCTGACAAACACTGTTGAATTACTGCAGTGGGTCAGTGTACTCGTGATGATCTCAGCTCTCAGATGAAGTCTTTTGTGTCCTATTTTACAATGCATTGTTCAGTTTTCTATAGGAGTTGTGGCTTAGTCACAGTATTTCACTGTGACAGCTTAGCTTAAGAAAAAGAAAGGTGAAGGAGAAAAAAAGGAGGAAAAGAGAAAGAGAACATGGAAATGCTTCCAAATAAAACACATCATGACAGGAAAAAGTAATCCTGTGTACACATATAAAGTTTGTCCCTTCTCTGTTCCCATCCTGGACACAGTTTTTCTAGATTACAAACTAAATTCATCCCTATTCCTCCCTAACACACACACACACACTTGCCATATAGTTTTCTGTCAAAACAGATTTCTTATAAAAAGAAAAACAACACAAAAAAACTCTTTTAAAACAAACACTTGACATTTTTTCAAAAATTCAGAGAAAATCTGTCATTTTCTGTCAACTTTAATCAAGCTTCTGAGTATAGAATTTTATTTTAGTGTTTTCATACTTTTTGAACATGTATTAGTCAAAATACCTTTCATTAATATGAATGTTGCAATAAAATTCTTCCTCTGTAAATGTACAGCTTCAGATAAATAGCCAAAAGCTATAGTTGTTATCTATATCTGTTATGTTTGGAGACAGAATATGAGTACAAACTGAAATATGAGAAACTTGAAGAATATATTCAAGGACTGTTGCAATCGTACAGGTTGGGAAAGGTGCTTAGTAATCCAACCCTCAAAGTTAACAAATATGAAACTACTTTCATGCATAGTTTGAGTTGTACCCAAAATATCATACCTGCAACCCTAGCTTCCTCTCCTACCTAGGCTGGGATTCCCAGGGTTATTAATGTGTTCTCATAGGGTTATTAATTTATTACTGTGTTATGGCAGATGTATTATTTCAACATCTGGTACCAAATTCCTCTAGAAGGAGGGATTCTTTGCTCACTCCCTAAGGCTGACAGGGCCCTATCTGATTCTGTTGGCATGTCGGCTCTGGCCTTATCTCCTACTATCTATTCTTCTGCTTACCAACTCTGATCACAGCCGCTTCCTTGCTATTCCTTAGAGTGCACTAGGTACTCTATGCCTCAGGGCGCTGACCCTAGCTGTCTTCTGTCTGGAACAATCTCACCTCATTTATCCACATGATTCATTTCTTTGCCTATTTCAAGTGTTTGTGCAAAAATCACTTTCTCCATGAGGCCTTCCCTGACCACCTATTTAAAATAGAATATTCTCCCCAACATTTTTTATGCCCCCTCTCTCCTTTATTTTCCTCAATAGCACTTATCACCATCAAATATGCTACATATTACACAGGTAAATATAATACAGGACATAACTGAAACCAAACACGTAAGCCAACAGACAGCTCAACCTCAGTATGAAAATAACAAGAAAAACAGGTCGATTTCAAAGGAAAACCCAACTCTATGCTGTATATAAAAGATAAAAACACACCTAAAACAAAACAATTCAGAAATGCTAACAATGAAAGGATGGATAAAGGTATACTAAGAAAATGCAAATTAAAAAAAGAAAGAATTGAGATTCTGAAATTCAAGAAAATAAAATTCAGACCAACAACCATTATTGAGAAAAAGAACATCTTATAATCCTAAAGGCTGCAATTCACAGTGAAAATAAAAGATTTATGAAAAGATATGCAGTGAATAACACAGTAACTACTTTCATACAGTGGGAATTACAAGAGATTCAGAGAAACTGAAATACACAAACAATAGTAGACTATAGTACATTTCTCTTAATTAGACAAAAATGTACGAAAACACTTATGAAAATTGACTCCAATTTACAATACAAACATGTATTTCTCAACAAATTACATAAAAATAATACAAATATTCACCATAATAATATAAAACTAGAAATTTATCATCAAAACATAAGAAAGCCCCATCTTGAAATTTTAAATTTTTCTATCAAACATAGCTTGTCCCAAAGGGAAACACCAATTGATATTGAGAATTTCTAGAAAAAAATGCAAACATGACATTAGAATTGACAAAATGCAGCTAAAGAGGGTTCAGAACAAAACTGATAGATTTAAATAAATAATGAAATATATGAATTAGATATTTCACTCAAAAGGAAAAAGTTCAATATACTTAAGATTCTTTTCCATTTTAGATTTAATTTTCTTCTTGAGAAACCTAGTTGTTGTTTTTTTTTTTTTTTTTTTGAGATGGAGTCTCCCTCTGTCACCCAGGCTGGAGCTGGAGCACAGTGGCGCAACTGGCCAGTCTGGTCTCGAACTCTTGACCTTGAATGATCCACCTGCCTCAGCCTCCCAAAGTGCTGGGATTACAGGCGTGAGCCACTGCACCCAGCAAGCAAACTAGATTTTAAAACAACATGAGATAAATAAGCCCACTGTATTTAACTGCATTTAACACTTGTACTTATAGCTGTAATACTGGTAGATTTTGGAAACTATGACATATATCATGGAGAAAAGTAAGTAATTCTGTTAATATCATTAAAGAGCCAGGATTTTCAGCACAGAGAAAAAGAGATGCCATATAACATCAAATAAGTGAAAACCTTATAATCTTTTATTCGAATTAGAATATCATCACAAATTTATGATTTATTTTCATCTTTCTTTGAAAAACTACATCCTTTCTAGATCTTGTTTTGAAGAGTCTGGGAAATAATGATGTTCACGCCATTTAGCCATGAACATCTTTAAGTACAGACTGTAGCATCCAAATCCCTTTTTCACTGGAAGCAATGAGGACACCTTTGAGAAATGGCTGATTCTAGGTCTGAGGCAGTAAATGTACAATACGAGACTGGAACTCTTACAGTGTCAGAAGGCAAGTAAGCTTTCAAGACATTTGAGCTTGTTTCAAGTAAACAAAGGAGCCAAAAATGGCCAACGATGGGCAATTTGAACTTCAAAATGGATAATCACTGCAATTATATAAAAGTGTAAGCAGAGATGCAAATAGAATCAACATGAAACTCCCAGAAGCAACAGGAGATTCAATATGGTAGTGAGATAAACAAAATTAGACATAGAAATCAGTACCTTCACTTACATAAGCATCTAGCAGTTATAAGGAAAAGTGGAAGAGATAATCCCACTTATGACACCAACAAAAAAGAGCAATACTATAAGAATAAACAACAAGCGAGAAACCTCTATGATGCTTTCTTGAAAGACACAAAGCTGAAACTTGAGCAAGAGAAAAAATAAACCTTGCTCTTCAAAATGAAAATGCAACATCATAAACTGAAAAGATATGCAGAAGGTAATTTTTAGAAAGTATTTTTATGGAGCTATATTCTATAGTTTCCATGAAAAAATAACCAAGAATATAGAAAAATAAACACTTAAAAAATCAGCAATGACGCAGACTAGCCCTACCAGATACTGAAATATGGTCTCTGTAATAAAAACAGTATAATATTAGCCCATAAGTAGACAATAAAGTCAATGGGGGAAAAAAAAGAAAATATATCTTGGACCTAACTACAATGTGGAAATTTATGTATGTGATACAAAAATTTCAAATCGCTGGTGGTGGGTGCTTTACAAATTAAATGTTATGACAGCTAAAAAGTCATTTGATATATCCAATAGATGAAATTGGATACATCACCTAGGTAGAATTGCTGCATATGTTTGTGTGCTCATATATATTTATTGTGAATCTTATAATGAGGAACCAATCTGACATCTCCAAATTGAAGGATATTCTGGAAGACCACTGGGCCAGACGTTTGAAAAATGGCAATGCCAGGAGAAACAAAAAAGGCGAGGGAACCGTTCTATATTGAAGCAAGTGAAAGAGAATTGACAACTGTAATGTGTGATTCTTGTTAAATCTCCAATTTCCATTTTACAAACTATAGGGTAAAGAAGGACATTTGGGGGACAATTGAGGAAATTCAAATGTGAAATATATCGGAATATTGTAATGTAACAATGTTACATTTCCTAAGAATGACGATGTGCATTGCGATCCTGTGGTCCTCAACTGAGACAATTTTGCTCGTCTCCTTGTTCCCCAACCCCTTACCAGCACCCCTTCGCACCCTCACCCTCCACCACCACCACACCGGCTGGGTTTGGCAGTGTCTGGAGGCATCACTGGTTGCCACAATTGGGGGAGGGAGTTGCTACTGTCATCTAATGGGTAGAGGCCAGGGATGCTGCCAAACAGTGACTGTTCTGCACAGGACATCCCCACCCCACCCCGTCACCCCCACCATACGGACAAAGACAGCAAAGACTCATCCTGCCCACAGCGTCAATAGCGCAGGGTTGAGAAACCCTGATGTCAAACGATCCCTTATTCTTAGGAGATACATACTGAGATATCAGGCTGAATCACAAGACATTGTCTCTTGCGTAGGTCAAGTATCGGCAGTATTTAAGGACGTTCACCACAGACTCTCAAAATAATGAACAAACCCTTCCGCCCCGGCTGCCCCGCGCCCTAGAGAACCCGTGAGGGGCGCACTCGCCCGCGCGCGCGGAGGCCAACGCCGAGCCTGCGCTGTGGGAGGCGCCGAGAGCGCACTGCGCACGCGCCGGCGGCGGGCCGCACCCACTCAGCGCGGCTCCCAAAGTTGCAGACGGCTCGGCCGGCCGTGCAGTGCGCTGCGTCTGCGCCGCGCAGAGAGAAGTAAAGAAAACTCCGGGGGCTCTGCTGGCTTCTTCGCGAGTGACCGCGATGCTTCCCCAGATGGAAGACCGGAGCCCTGCTCCTCTGCGATCCGCCGAGGGCTACAGGGAGCATCCTCATCCATTTGGGCACCCCCGTCCAGGACGAGCCCGGCCATCCCTGTCCAGCCTGGATCCTTGAGAGGTGGATTTTCTTCTGTGGATTCCGTTTGCTCGGTCTGACCCGCCTGGGCAAAACAGCATCGCGTGGAACCAGTGCCGCTGGGCACGCTAGCTTCACGCCGGCTCCGCCTCGCCAGCAAGCGCGTTCCCAGGTAAAAATTTTAAATACCTTAGAATTCTTCTGCCTAGAGTCTCTAATCAAGAAGTTGACCCACTTTTTCTGGAAGGATCTAGAAACAAATACTCTAGAATTCGGGACTGGAACTGTGTCGCGTATTCGCCTTTGTTTTGACAGTCTTTGTTTTGAGAATGCAAAAACCACTCTTAGCTGCCGGACCTTACAAAAATAAAATCATGTAGACTGGGATGATTAGAACCTAATCATTAACTTCACCCAGCACAGAGACTAAAGCGCCAGTGAGTCCTCCACCCCTTCCTCGGCCCTAGCACAGTTTTGCAGTTAGGACCCAGGTTTTGTGAGGACTGGGACCCACCCAGGTTTAGTTCACAGTCTCTTGAATCCCTCCCTGCACCTGCACCTCTGCTCCTCCTCCTCCTAGGCCAGTGGCCCGTGCGGAGTTCTTGGCAGTCTCCGAGGCCACCAGGAAACCCCCAGCCTAACTGCCACGCCCTCCTTTGCTCTAAAATGACAGGCGCTTTTCATCTGGGAGCAAAGGCTGAAATCCCCACATTTGGACTAAATTAGTTTAATGTAAAAGTAATACAAGATTGTCTCAGACAATTGTATTTTAATATTTTTTTCTAGTGATGAATGTAATATATGTCTACCATGGTCATTTGGAAAATACTGAGACGTATATAGGAGAAAATAAATTCTCCATAACCCCAACCCATAAATAATAACTTTTGAAATGCTTGTGTAGTTTTTAACTCTTTTTTCATGCAAATTGTAGGACAGCTTACTGAACAATTTGATTTTTTAAAATATTTTTAATAATCTTTTGTTGAAGTACAGCATATAGAAAAGTGTACAAATTATAAATACAGTTCAGTAAACTTTCAAAGATTAACACAAACATCCCCTAGGAGCCACCACCTAGCTCAAGAAATAAATTAATAATAGCATTCTTCATCCCCCTGTTATTCGTGTCTGTTTTGACATTTCACATGAAATGAATTACTTGGTAAATATTTTATAGTATTTGGCTTCTTTCACTTTATTTTAAATTTGAATTCATCCCCGTTGTTGCCTGTAACAGGTCTTTTTAAAAATCTTATTCTATGCTATATGAAATTCAGTTATATGAGTATACACAATTTATTCTTTCTACTGTTTTTTTCTTAGTTACAGATTTATTGAGATATAATTCACCATACAGTTCATCCACTTAGTGTGCAATTCATTGTGTACAATTCAGTGCTTTTGGCATATTCACAGATATGTGCAACCATCACCACAGTCAATTTTAGAAAATTTTCATCACCTGGAAACTTCATACCCTTTAGCTATCACTCCCCAACCCCAGTTCTCTGTCCTTTCCAGCCCCAAGCCACCACTAATTTTTCTGCTCTATAGATTTGCCTATTGTGGACATTTCACAAAAATTGAATTATATAATATGAGGTCTTTTGTGACTGGTACTTTATGCTCATATTGGACATTCAGCTTCTTTCGAGGTTTGGAACTCTTACAGATAATACTTGCATGAACATTATTCTGTGAATTGTTTCACCCAGATACACATTTCTATTGGGATACATATCTAAGGTATGCATGTACCCAGCTATAGTTACAGTACCAAGCAGTTTTTCAAATTCACAGGCCCCGCCATCATTGTATGATGAGAGTTCTCTTTGTTCCACATCCTCTCCAACATTTGGGGTTTATATGGTTTTAATTAACACTTCTCTGATGAGTAAAGATAAAAAGCATCTTTCATGTGGTTATTGGCCACTTGGATATCCTCTTCAGTAAAGTGCCTTTTAGGCATTGACCCATTTTTCTATTGAGTAGTCTTCTGCTTGATGTGTATATTCTGGATAAGTGCTGCAAACAGACACCTTTTCCTAATTAAAGGCTTGCATTTTAATGCTCTGATTTTTAGATTTTGATAAATGGAAATCTTTCATTTTTATTGAAGCCTAATTTATCACTCTTGTTCATGGTTAGTGGTTTCGCTGCCCTGTAAGAAATCATTGCCTACCCCAAGGTGACAAGGGCATTCTCTTATGTTACTGTCCGGAAGCTTAAGTTTTTTCTTTGAACATTTAGATGTACCAGCTACCTACAGTTAATTTTGGCGTATGGTGTGAAGTGAGGACTAATTTTTTTTCATGTAGCTATCCAACTGACCTAAGTTTTTTTCGGAAAAGAAAATCCTTTCCCCACTGCTCTGCTACATCACCTTTGTCATAAATCACTGGGAACAGAACTACAGATGTTAGAAGCTGTAGACAAGGAATTTAAAATATATTTATGGTTAATTTACATTATTAAAGATGCTTACAAAGTGTAGATATGGTAAGTGAAGACAGGAATTTCAAGAGAAGTACTAATTGAAGAAGAACAAAATGGAACCCCTAGAACTGAAAAATATAATAACTAAAATTATTTTATGAGATTATCAGTAGACTGGACACACGATAAGGAGAATGAGGAAACTTAAAGATGGGTCAGTAGAGAGCCAGGCACAGTGGCTCACGCCTGTAATCCCAGTGCTTTGGGAAGCCTAGGCGGAAGAATCATTTGAGACCAGAGGTCAGAAGTTCGAGACAAGCCTGGCCAACATGGTGAAACCCAGTCTCTACTAAAAATACAAAAATTAGCTGAGCATGGTGGTACACACTTGTAATCCCATCTACTCTGGAGGCTGAGGCAGGAAAATCACTTGAACTGGGGAGATGGAGACTGCAGTGAGCCAAAACTGAGCCACTGCACTCCAGCCTGGGCAACAAATCGAGACTCTATCTCAAAAAAAAAAAAAAAAAAAAAAAAAAGATAGGTTAATAGCAATTATCCAAATTTAAAGTGCACTTAGAAAAAAACGTATAATAAACAGAACATTAGTGACTCGTGAAATAATATCAAGACACCTAACCTACGTGAAATTGGATTTTCAGAAGTCAAGGAGAGAAAATATTAGGCAGAAAAATACTTGAAAAAATATTAGCAGAAGTTCCCCAAATTTGATCAAACATATTTATCCAGAATGTTTACTTGCTTAATGAAGAGTTGATCCCAGTAACCTATTTTGCCATTAATGGCGTTTAGAAGTTAGCATCAAATGTTATAAAGTTTACATCTCCATGAATGAGCAGCAGGCAAAGTCACATCAAATGTAGAAAAAAGACTTTGCCCGGTGGCAGGGTCCTGAGCATGGTATTCTTTTAACATAAATGTTGCCTGCCGCTAATGGCCATTACCACCACCCCAATCATAGTAATACCACAATTCCTCACAATTTTTCATCATATCCCCTTGGTGCATGGTAGGGCCCTGCATCCACTGAGAACCCTTTTCTCCTGTGATCTGCCACTGTCTCTCAGTTCCATACCTTTCTAACCTCATCTTCTAATGCTTTAGGTATCACACCTCCCTGGCCTCCTTCCCTATCAGGCTTTTGGGAATTGCTTTTCCCTCTTCCAGACTGGTCCTGCCCCCAGATATTTATATAATTGACTCTTCCTCAAGTCTTTGTTCCAATGTCATTTTTCTCAGTGAAACCTTTAGATTAAATACACTAAAACAAAAAGCTTGTACATTCTCTTAGCATCTTTATTAGTTTACAGGGCTGCCATGTGAAAGCACCACAGACCCCGTGGCTTAAACCACAGAAATTTATTTTCTTAGCTCTGGAGACTAGAAGTCCAAGATCAAGATGTCAGCAGGTTTGATTTCTCCTGTGGCCTCTCTCTTTGGCTGGCCATTGGCCACCTTCTCTCTGTGTCCTCCCATGGTTTGCCCTCTGTGCGTGAGTGCCCCAGCCTCTCTCTGCATTCCCAAATTTTCTCTTATAAAGACAGCCTTTAGATTGGATTAGAACCCATCCAAAGGACTTCATTTTAACTTAATCGCCTCCTTAAAAATCTTATCTACAAATATAGTTACTTTATGAGGTACTAGGGGTTAGGCCTTCAACATATGAATTTTGGGGGTATGTAATTCAGTCTATACACCATCTCTTGTTTATTTTTATCTGTAGCCCTTATTTTAAATTCAATGTATAATGATTTACTTGGTTTGTTGTCTTAACTTTCTGTTCCACTGGAATACAGGTTCAATAAGAGAGGGATTTTAATCAATTTCTCTGAAATGTCTTCAGAACCAAATGAGAAAAAATTATCATTGTTAACATTTTCACTTAGTGCTAGCATATAGGCAACCTTAATGTATTTCTAATAACTCCCTATATCCTTCAGAGCATTCCTTCATTCCTTCATGAATGAAGAAAGCCCTGATAGTGTTCCAGTAATTTATGTTTTTTTAATGTTTGAATTTCTTAACAAATTATAGCACTAAAAGATGCAATATTTTTGTTTGTTTAATTTTTATATTGTTAATAGAGACAGGGTCTCACCATGTGGCCCAGCCTGGCCTGGAACCCCTGGACTCAAGTGATCCACCCTCCCTGGCCTCTCAAAGTGCTAGGATTATAGGCATGAGCCACCATGCCCACCTATGATCCCGTTTTTTTTTTAACCAAGGATAATAGAAATTTAATATGCTTGTTTCCAAAGCAACAAAAGCTTTACATGATCGAGTAGACAGAGGGCTCTTCCATATTACACAGAAATATACAGCCAAACTGCCAAGGACTCCCTCATGCAAAAAAAAAAAAAAAAAAAAAATGCTTAGAGCCATCCTCACAAAGCAATTTGCCTGTTTAATTGTAAACTGATTGTGACAACTTTTTTTTTCTTTAGGTGGTCAGGCTCAGGATGGACCATGAGGTTTCAAAAAGGAGAAAGGTGGAAATTCTCAGCTATGCTGCCATCTGAATAAATGTTTCTTTGCAGCATGCAGAGTCAAGGAAAATTACATCTCTGCATTATGTAATGTACCAATGCACTTACCCACTGTTTTAATCTAGGTTATTCCTGAAAGCAGAGCTTGAGACAAAGGTAGACAGTAGACACATTCTATTTATGAGTCTAATACCAAGCAGCAGGAATGAGAGACAGGGGAGTGAACGTGGGGAAAGGGAAAGTAAGTCCAAGCAAAACCAGATACTGGTGTTATCAAGTGGTCTGCTCCTATTAATGGCTACATAATGCAGAACTTTCTCAGGATTCCTCGTAAACTTTATCTCAGAACTGTCTTCCTCAGGGAGAATGGAGAAGTATTTCTCCATCAGCAGCCACATCCTGTGTGTTGAGGGCTGCTCCTTTGGGGCATTAACCCACTACCCCTGGCCCCATCACTCTGGGCTGCAAGGAGCTGAGAGCCCAGCTGGTACCACAGCATCACACATTACTGCATTAGAGAGGTCTTAAGACAGGAAGCTAGAGTCTTGGTGCATGCTTGAAGTGAGACAGTGTTAGCACAGAGCAGGGGAAAACCTTCCGTAACTGTTCACCAGTGCTATGACTGGAATCAGAGGTTGAAAAGATGTGAGACTATACACAAGAAGCATCTTATAAGCCTACATAATATACTGTTAGACTCATCTAAATCTGTTTCCTTCCCTCTTTATAATCAAAACTTTAGTGACCAGAATAAGGTTGGCAGAGGGTTAAATAGGAAAGTTAAATGTGTTAGAAAGTATACATTGCTAAGTTTTAACCTTGAGTCATGTTCAAGGAAAAAGTGACACTGGAACTTAGAAAATTAAAAAATGATTCTACTTGAAAAATTTGACCATTGCATAGAAATATTAGCTATTGTCTAATTTTTTGTAATCTCAGAAACAATCATGAATTGTTTGGTGAAAAATGAAAAAAATAAATTTAATCATTTCTTGTGTCTCCGTGAGCTTTATAGACCAATGTCACTAACTTTTCCTAAAATAATTATTTCCTACTGCCAAATAGCTCTAGTGATACAAAGCTTACAACCAATGAAGGGAAAACCAATAGAAACATAGGAAGAAAAATACTGGGATAAGTTTCATCACATAAAGTGTTGTTATTAATATTGGTTGGAATGGGGGGGAACTGCATGACTTGGCATGACATTCCTGTATGTTGTATGAAACTCTGTCTTAACAGAAATAGCAATGGCATCATCGTCCTCTCTTACTTGATCTTGAATTGCCACCATTCAGATAAAACCTTTGAATTATTTAACTCAATATATGTTAAGTTTCTACTATGTGCTATATACTGGTACTATAAGCACGAATAGGACTTAAAATATTATTTTCAAAAACATCAGAATACATGTTCTTTTAAACTGTACTGCAAAATATTTACCACATGTTCTGGCGCGCACCTTAGGCTAGATCACAAATCAATTCTCAAGAAATTTCAAAAAATTGAAATCATATGGAGTATGAATTAAACCAGAAATCAAGTACATAAAGGTAACAAAAAAAAAAATCCTAAATGCATGTAATTTAAGGAACATACACTTCATGACCCATGAGTCAAAAAATAAATCACAGCAAAATTGCGAAAATACCTTGAAATTAATTTTAATGAAAATACAGCATATTAAAACTTGTGTGATGTGAAAGCATATGATGGGAAACATACAGCTCTAAGTACATATATTAGAAATTTTACAGAAAGATTGGCTATCAGTGTCTCCAGAAGCCAGGGAAAAAGTTGAGACAACTTGATGGCTGAGGAAGGGAAACAAATGTGAGATCTCTTATCACCCTGCCTTTCCCGGGTGAGCACACTGGATCCCATCACAGGAGGAGGAGCTTAAACAGAGGTCTTGCTGAGTTGAGGAGAGGAAGACTGGAGTTGAGACTGAGACAGCTTGAATTTTCAGGACAGAATATCAACAAGGAGGAAGGCAGACAAGGAAAAATTCCAGAAATCTACGTAGAGACCCCCTTGTGTACATTGTGGAGCACTAGGCCTAATAATTCTCAAAATTAGTGCAAGATTGGGAAATATTTCATTTCCATCCAGCCATGGTGGAGAGTCCTGACCGAAAACCAGGCGTTCACTGAAAATCCCGGAAAGGTTACATGTTACATAAGTAGGGCTAAACTATCCTGACAGAAAACTACACTTCACTTACTCCCCACCCACACAACAAGCTTAAAAACAAGCCTCAATAGTATAAAGCTGACCTGTAAGTAAGTAAACTACCTTCTAGAACAAAGTCCAAATTTATTAGTTCCAGTCCTTAAAAAAAAAAAAAAATGTAAAGACAGGATTAATTTACAAGACATTTATTTGGAGGAAAAAAAAATGACTGAGTGTTTAAATGGAAAGGAAGCCAGACAGACAGAGTGCTCAGACTACATAAAATGCCTGGCCTCCATGGAGGTGTGATGGTTACTATGCGTGTCAACTTCACTGGGCCACAGAATGCCCCAAATCTGACCAAACATTATTTCTGGTTATGCTCATGAGGCTTTTTCTGGAAGAAATTTGCATTTCAATTGATGGACTGAATAAAGCACATTGCATTCCCTAGTGTGGAAGGGCTTGATCCAGTCTTTGAAGGACCCAAATAAAATACGTGGAGGAAGGTTGAATTTTCTGCCTGACTGTGGTGCTGGGACACCCATCTTCTCCTGCCCTTGAACCAGGAACTGACACCATCAATGCTCCTGGTTCTCAGACCTTTGGACAGCAGATTGGGGGACTTCTCAGCCTCCATTACTGTGTCAGCCAATTCCTTATAATAAATATTCTACACTGATTAGTCTTACTGATTCTGTTTCTCTGGAGAGCCCTAATACAGAAGGAGAAAGGGAAGAAAGGAGGGTTGAGTAGCAAAAACCGTAGACATAGCACAATTCCAATGAAATTGAAGGTCAGCTGATAAAGAACACGCAAACCAAAGTTGCCCATTGGAGGAGCCCCCTCCCTCACAGGAATAGGCCTGCATTAGTAGTATGCCTTCTTCAGTCAGTCATTGCTGTTCTGATGGAAGCAACCCATGGGAAATGTAGCCTTGGCCTGACTATCAATGGATTCAGAGAGCAGCATCAGGGACCCCCCAGTCAATTAAGCTCCACAGCAAGAGATCTCAGTGGTGCATTTGCATGGCTGGCTTAGTCCACCCATTGGGCTGCTTAGCTCCATTCAGTCCTAGCTGCCAGGAAGATTACTAGGTGTCATTGTCAACTCAGGCTCTGTGCCCAGTAAACCTAGAAATGTCTGGATATTCTTCCTTGCCAGCATATAGTCATAAATCTATCTGGGGAAGAACTTGCCATTTCATCAAAGTATATACATGTAGAGCAGGGTTCTTTCTCCTAGTAAAGAAAGGGTTCTTTCTCTGTGACCTAGTAACCCATCGCCTATGAGTTCTTCCATCTGTCAGCTCCTTACCTGAAAAGTGCTTCAGGTCTGGGAACTGAGAAAGGGATTGTGATGTGTCATTGGAGCCATTGTGGTTCTGTTCGTACCTTATATGGTTATAGGCATTACACAGCATTCTTGTTATTTGCCCATCTATTTTGCCTGTAAGGGTGTTACTTTCAATTAATTATCTCCTAAACACCTGTGAATCAACCCCCCTTAACTACCGCTCCAATTTCACCAGTTGTTACAGTAATTATGGCCTTTTGACTTTTGGTAGTTAAGCACCAGTCCTCCAGGGCCCTCTATTCCTTGAGGGCCCATTACCCCTGAATCATATTAAGCTCAGTTCTGTGACCGCCTCATTTACCATCAGCCCTGGTCTAAGGAGTAAAGCCACTATTCCACTTAGTGATACTAGTACCCTCCCACAGGCTCATTCTTGGTGGCCTTAGTGAATTGTCACTATTTCATGACATATTCATCACATATATCCCTCATATATTCATTTGTCTGACCCCTATGAAGCTGTGATGGTTAATTTCATCACAAAACCTGTATGCCATTGTATAGCAGGTCCTTCACTAATATAGCAACACCAAAGTTTTCAGGCAGAACTGATAGACCCTGTTGAAGGACAGGCAATCCTAGAGTAAACCATCTGTATACAGTTCTTTTAACAGCCTTCAAGGCACTGTAAGACTAGGGAGAGACTTATCAAATTATATTCAGCAGAAAACTAGCTCCATAGGATATGAATTGATGTTAGGAGAAAACCTAAATTAGAAAGTTTCTTCAGTGCCATATTCTCAAAGCCATTTGTGAATGTTTAGTACAACTCTCCAAAACAGATGATTTGATACGTTCCGTGTGGCAGTAGTAGGATGTGCAACCCAGATCCCCCTTAAAGAACAGCTTGCACCCCACTTGCTGGGTGTCCTGTTAGCGGGCAGCCTGCAGCTGTCAGCTCTCTTCAGGAATTGGCTTAGCTGTAGAGAACCATTTCACCTAAGGTCACACTTTTCTGTGGAGTGGCCCATAGCCAAGGATTGATCAGTGTGGATATACAAAGTTGTTCTCTTGCCCATCCCAGGACATCTCTGAGGGCCGTTTTAACTCCAGCGTTCCCTGTGGGGTTGGCCAAGGATCTCGTTGGACCTGCATTACAACTCAGCTTCTCCCTCTACCCAATTCCACTTCCCTCTCTCTCTTTTAACAACTTTTGGCAAAAGGAACTTCTTAATAAATATCCTGCAATTAAGCTTTATCTCAGAATCTGCATCCTGGAGAAGGCTGTCTGAGATGCCCCACTTTCTAATTTTGTTTGCCCATCAGAGTCTCCCCATTTTTTTTTATGGAGTTGTCTTCTTTAACCCAGAAGGGAGTGCAGTGGCACGATCTCAGCTTACTGCAGCCTCTGCCTCCCAGGCTTAAGCAATTATCCTGCTTCAGCCTCCCGAGTAGCTGGAATTACAGATACCTGCCACCACGCCCATCTAATTTTTTGTATTTTTAGTAAAGATGGGTTTTCACCATATTAGTGAGGCTGGTCTCAAATTCCTGACTTCAAGTGATCTGCCTGCCTTGGCCTCCCGAAGTGCTGAGATCACAGGCATGAGCCACCGCACCTGGCCTAAATCCCTCTTACATAGAGTTCCTAACAAGTGTAAGGCTTAAGAAATACGTTCTGAATGCTGGTAAGTGCATATGTGAGAACTAAGTACCTGTGTGGAAAGTAAGGGGAGGGGTACCCCAGACTTAAATCCCAGCTTATGAATGCCTTTGAGATTTGCAACTAGCTTAATTTGGATATTTAACTCTAATGCTTAAAGTACTACAGGATTTACTATCTGTGAAGGTGCTATGGAGAGGATCTAGATATTGTCTGACCTATGCAAATAAATTTTATTTTCTCTGTAACAGTGTTTAAAACTCTAAGACAATCCATGGTTGTCGGGTAAAATGCACTCATGTCTATCTGACAGATGGAAGTATTTTGCATTCCAGCTGCTTTTGGATATTTAACAGGAGAAGAAAAGAGAAAATATTATTAAAGCCTTTGAAAGTCCATTTCCAAGAAATAAAAACTACAGTAGGAACTCTACAAAACTGAAGTCTTCAGGACTGGAAGATCTATCCAGAAAAGCCCAGTGGATTATAATAACTTATTAAAATATTTGTTTGGCAAGCCACTGACTAATACCATTTTAAGATATGACTGTATTATCAAAAAAATTGGAATGAGTAGTTTTTACAAATCTTTGAAATAATCGTACTTGTATTTTGACACTAATTTGAAACAGGAGCTGGCTTGAAATACTAATCCTAAGTGATCAGAGACAGCATGATCAGCATAGAGCAATTTCCAAATAAGATGAGATGCATGCAGCCTCTACAAATTTGGCTTGGGGAGGAGTTTGCTTCGCTCGCTTGAATAAGCCACTGTCTATGGCTCACAAGGGTCCCGTTCTTAATGAGGTGGTGCGTAGCAGCAACACACTGTGAATCCAAATAGCAGATGGCAACACTGTTGAGTAGGCTGGCAGTCTGATGTCTAGCCACCAACTGGCAGCAATCATTATTAAACTGATTCATGTGCCCAGGGAAAATCTTCATAAGAGTCTTAGCAAATGTGAGCAGCAAGAAGCAAATGATCTGCTGTTCCAACTGCTATGAGTTTTACCTATATTTCTTAAAATATTATTCCCCAAAGCAATCTACACAAATGGCATGATATGTGCACTGGAGGCCCTATTCCTTTCCTTTAGATGCATTCATGTATACCTTTAAACATGATAGCTGTGATTTCTGTATTTGGTGAATAGCTTTTCCTTGAAGGAAATAGCTTCATAGCATTCACCCTATGGATCTGTGGCACATATTCAGTGACAGGCCAGCACTCAGATTCTCTAAATAAATAACTGAGCACATTCTCTCTCACATAATGAAGCAATGGCCTATATTGCTTATGGTCCATCTACATGAGACAGGTAACCCATCCTTGGGTGAAAAGTTTGTTATACTCACACATGGTTAAGAAAGCAGACTAAGAAAGTCTCTAGCTTTAGAAAACTTACATAAGGATCTTTCCACAAGAAAATATTAAAGGTATCTATTTAAAAGTTCTGTCTTTATAAACCAAAATGCTAAACAAATAGCATTTTTTTCAATGTTGAAAGTATGTGTTATCTGTAACCAATAAAGCCCATTTCCACAACTTTATATATTAATAAAGATGCCTTGAGGTAAGGCTTTTATTGAAAAACAAAACCCTGCTTTATTCACTTACAAAATACTTACACTTAAATTTAAAAACAAAAACCCCTAGCTATTCTCTAAATCTTCATTACAATTTCTTAAAGTTCTTAAACTGTAATCTTTAAGATGCTAGAATTCTTTTATGTGTTCATAATAACAAGCAGAAAACACTACAGTTAAATGTCAGATATTCCACATGTTACAATCAGATTTTATTTTATATTCCATTTATGGTAATTTTTTAATGGAAGTAAAATTTAAAATTGGTTTTAAGAAGTGATAACATCACTCAGAATGGATTCTTTTTGACTTTATCAATTTGATAAATCAATCCAGGCTTAAATATCATTTATAACTTCTAGAGAGAGTGCCCCTGCCCTTGTGTCAAATACGAGAGTGATTATCATCCACTGTTAGATACCCCAGCCCTGGCAGTGGAGCTCAAAAGCAAGCTTGCACGCTGGCTCTCAAGTTTCTCGGCATTCTCCCCAAACAAGAAATCAAATGCCAGAGCTTATACACTTTAATATTTGAGACCAAAAAACACCCCAATGAGAGATTTACTCAAATGTGCTTGTCTCCTGGCTACTTTATAAGAAATAAATGCATGTCAGAAGAAAAGGTGTCCATGT